TATAAAAAACACTAATGAGGACACAAAAACAATAGATACGGCCTTATTAGTATTCTTTATATAAAGAATATTAATTAGGAGTGTTTTATCAGGTTTAAAGCTACTGCACGTGACATATTATGGTTGACATGATTTGCCAATAAGCTTATAAATTATTAATGAGTGTTTGAAATAGATTTCTAGCACTGATAAAAATGATAATCTCACATGTGAAATTATTCATGATAATCTCACATGTGAAAATTATTGCTTTTCAATTATCGCATTCTGTAAAAATTATCGCTTTTCAAAGACTGTCCTTTATATAATAAACAGAAAAATACATGGGTGGTTGGAAATACCAGATTTATTTCTCGTGTTGAACATGACATCTCACTCGTTCGCTGCGCTCAATTGTGAGATATCATGTTCAATACTCGAAATAAATCTGGTATTTCCGCGCACCCATGTATTATTCTCTATTTAAAATACAACTTGACTGGTTTAACTTATTATCAAGTTATCAGTGATTGTAAAAGTTCCAGATAGAAGCGTTTTGTTTTATATTATTATCAAGTTATCAGTGATCGCAAAACCTCCAAATCCTTAATTTCAAATGCCCCGCCGGGGCTAAGGTTCAAGTGGGAATGCCCAACCCCCGGGATGTGCTTTACAGGAAAATGGCTGGGCGAGGGGGATGGGCACACTTGGATTTGGCTGATGCATGAAAAGTCATGGAAAAAGAAAAAACTTTTCATATTGCTACTATAAAATGGCTTATTGTGCTTATTCCTGTGCTTATTCCAGACTGCTTGTGAAATATTTACTTGCTAGAAGTAGGAATTTACTCAGACCACTGGATGAAGAAGATATTAAATAAGTTCTGGTTAATAAACAGAAATGTATTTTATTTCATACTATTAAAATTTATTTTTATACTATAAAAACAAAACATAAACATGCAGCATAGAATATGCAAATTCGAGGCAAAATTATTGTTGAATCGGTTTATTTACAGGATTCTATAACAAATACCAACTATAAAAGTTTATACATTGTCTTCACATCGCTTTATTCTGTTGGTCAATGCTTTTAAAATTACATATTTTAGGATCAGTTCCTTTCCTGGTAACCGCATTTCTAAATAAAATCATCGAGTGCTGAGCAGGCCGTTTTACTATAAACAAATGTTAGCAATTGATAACAACTTTGAAAAATATATCGTTGCACATTCGGTCACAGTCGGAAAAATGTTCATAGTATGTTGTGCCGTCACTTGCACCTAACGATGAACAGTCGCTCATAAAAACATTCGCGTGATTAGAATCTTTAATGTTTGTCAAGAACAACAACACTTAATTGTTGTTTCCCATGTGTACAATAATAAGTAACAAAACTTTGTGTGGTCTGAACGTGTTGGGCTAGAGACCTACTGGAAACCTTTACAGGCTTTTTAATGAGAATAGAGAATGTTATATATGTAACTGTTCACCCTTAGTTGCAACCGACGGTATTTGAAAGCATAAAATTGCATGTGGCTGTGATAACTGAAATAAATAAAATACAGTCTGGTTATACTGACTTGAGCGTGTCATGACAAACTCTTTATTGGAAAATTGTGAAGAAATAGTCAAATATAGGGAGTCCATCCCCCTCGTCCTGCCATTTTCCTGTAAAGCACATCCCGGGGGTTGGGCATTTCCACTCGAACCTTAGCCCCGGCGGGGCATTTGAAATTAAGGATTTGGAGGTTTTGCGATCACTGTTAACTTGATAATAATATAAAACAAAACACTTCTATCTGCAACTGTTACAATCACTGATAACTTGATAATAATTTAAACCAATCAAGTTGTAGTTGAAATAGAGAATAATACATGGGTGGTTGGAAATACCAGATTTATTTCGAGTGTTGAACATGATATCTCACAAGTGAGCGCAGCGAACGAGTGAGATGTCATGTTCAACACGAGAAATAAATCTGGTATTTCCAACCACCCATGTATTTTTCTGTTTATTATATAAAGGACAGTCTTTGAAAAGCAATAATTTTTACGGAAAAGCGATAACTGAAAAGCGATAATTTTCACATGTGAGATTATCATGAATAATTTCACATGTGAGATTATCATTTTTATCAGTGCTCGAAATCATGGGGGTAGCGGGCGGGGGGCGGAGGGTGGCAGCCCCCCCCAGTTTGTTGGGCAAACAAAGCCAGTCGTGCAATATTCGCTTCACAGGCGGGCAATACTCGCTTATTATAAAAAGAAATGGGACAAATTCTGTCAATTTTTTTGGAAATTCTGTTAATTTTGTGGGAAATATGCTATCTAATAGGAATTTTTCGTAATCACTCCTCCTTCCCCGTCGACAAGAATTTTGGAAAGTTTAATTTCTCCGGGAAATTTTTTTGACAACGCGGGCACAATCCGAAAAAGTCGGGCAAATTTCTTTCCGTCCCCCTAATTTTTTCCTTCCCGTACGCCCATGCTCGAAATCTCTATAAAACACTATACTTCATATAATAAAAATTCATAAATTTGAACCATGCTAGAGCATGACAACAGCAAAATGCTCTAGAGTACGATGCACAATATTTTGGGAGGTGCAATACATGAACAATAAATCAGAGAGTGTTTGCTTGAAACTCACTGGGGGTAGGGGGGGGGGGTGCAGCACCCCCAATAATTGCTCGTGAGGAATTTCAGGTAGATTTCCAGTGCACTTTTAGGTTAATTTAAGTAGATTTGCAGAAGATTTTCAGGGGAATTCAAGTAATTCTCACGACATGAGAAGGTGAACTTGGAAAACAACTGTATTTTCAGAAAAATTATTATATGTCCTGAAAAATTGTTGTACATCTGGAAACTTTTTGGTAAACCCCCCCCCCCCTATCTAACCTCACACACACCCCTGAGACGACGTGCTCGCAACGGCACTGAGTATATCTCTTTTGAAAACAGGCGAGGGGTTATTGCATGCATTTATTTCTAGCTAATTTTTTTATAGAACAAATTGCTTTGAAAGCTGTCAACGTTTTTTTGCAAACATACAATATACTGTAGTGCAAAAAGCAAATCATTTTCATGAAGTATCTGTCAGTTGAAGTCGTCATTTGTTATACAACAACAAATTTTAAATTTGACCAATCAGTGTCCGCTATCCTTGACAGTCCGCCAAATTTTTGACATCAGTTAGGATGACCACCCACTCAAGATCGTCGTTCGTTGGTTACGCCCACGATAATTGATGAACTTTAGACTTCGCTAATGCTTTCGTTTCCCCAGGTGTAAATAGCCGGGGGTATTAATACCCTCGCACGGCGCTTCGTGCCGTCGGCTCGGGATTAAACACGATTTACACGCTGAAGCGGTTTTGTTGCTTAGTTATTCATTAAGTTATGTTTAAAAGTCATCAATATTACGGGCTATGTTGCTGAATGAGGTGTTAGCAACGAAAACCGAATAAAGTCAACTTATTTTGTTGCTTTCTCTTTGGTTATATACATGCAGTATTGAGTTTGTTTATTCCTGTCAGTAATTACAATGTATATAATTATTCTATATACGTACTTATACGCATAAATTATCATAATTAAAAAATCCAAATACTGCAGATTTTGGGATCATGTGACCGGCCAATGCCAGGACAATTTTCGCTGAAAAAAAGCAAAAAGCCCTGGATACGAGGTTGGCCATTCAAGAGCAATGGTTGCGTACAAACTTTATCCGCGTCGCAATCTTTGTTTTATTTTATCGTATAATCTCAATTTTCAAGTATATGGGGTATTCTGAACTGTAAAATTCGGTGTCGTGACAAGGGAATACTGTACAGACTAGCGAGACTAAACAGCCTTCGCGTAGTGCTATTTCTGGACCTAAATTAGTAGTTTAAATAATTGTTTGTCTTGCTTTTATTTGTCAGTATAGAATATTGTAAATTAAAGTATTACTACAATACAATACAATACAATACAATACAATACAATACAATACAATACAATACAATACAATACAATACAATACAATACAATACAATACAATACAATACAATACAATACAATACAATACAATACAATACAATACGATACAATACGATACAATACGATACGATACAATACAATACGCGTAGTATTTCATCAGACATCTGCACTACATTATAAATGCTGTACAAAGAAAACTACAGTGTAATCAGGTAGACGTTTCTTGTTTTGTCAGGAAATATCACAGCCACGTCGACACGGCTTTTGAGTTTTGTAACCTGCCGAGGAGAAAGTAAATCATGCAGTCGGAAAAACTGAAAGCGGTTGTTGCTCACATACAATTCACGTACAAGATATACTCGTACACAACAATCATAAAAAAACATAGTTGAATTGTTATGTTGAATTATTATTGTCAGGTCTGCTATTTTTAGACAATATGGTGTTCGCCAATCATAATGCAAAATTGTCCGGCCCAGACCAGGGCTTTCTCTTCTCTCTGCTAGTCCTCACACGAAAGCCCTGTGAACGAGGTTGTATTTACATATATAAGCTATTACTCCGTGTTTGCACAGCCACCATTTTTATTTTTTCAGCATAATCAGCAATATGATAGCTTACTTCCCACACACACACACAGACTCATAAACTAAAAGCTGGAATTTCCTATAGATTATGGCAATCATAATTCGATATTGGAAGGTATGTTGTGGATAGGATAAAGGTTAATTAAAATTAGGAATATTTGCAACAGTGCTTTCGTTTGCAACAGTGCTTACGACATATACTTACAACTAAAAAGCGCGTAAAAATTTCGTCCATATCGGCCAGACAATGTAACTACAACGTTCCTGAAATAATCTAGGCTCATATGGCGTGTGGGACCTGGAACATCAATGGTCAAATTTTGTCTTGCAAATTCGAGTTGTCTAACAAAGTATAATGCCCATTCTCGCCGAAGGATATAATTTTACTGAACGTGGGTAATTTTACTGTGATCTTGTTCTTTGTTCTAATCAATAATTTATTTTGTAACAAACCTGTGTTGACGAAAATCCACCATAATAATTACGTTGCTTAGATAACCACTTGACAATCTTCATTATATCTTTAGGTTGTTCTTTTCGTTTCAGATAAGACATTAAAGCATAGCCTGTCATTTCCACATCAGCAGGGCGAAGCTTTTCAGCAAAGTAGTCTGTCGGCTCCTCGGTCGCTACTAATTTGTCATTCCTAGCTGACCAGAAAATTAGGCCGTCTGAAAGCAAATACAGGTTGATGAGCCCATTGCTTTCGCGAAAAATTGAATGTATTATTAATTAACTATTTAATTTACTTTGCTCTTTTCTTTTACCATGAATTTAGGATCTTGCTAATAATTGACGCTCTGTCTAAACGATGTTACTACAAATATTCTTTTAGTGCATTCCGTGCTATATTGTTCCTTTGTATTTGAATGAAATGTTAAAATAAAATATAAACAACATGTGCTTCTACGTAACTGCAAAATTTAATCACAAAGATAACAATGCCACAACTCTATTTTTTTCATATGTACTCCAAATCGTAAACTAAACGCCTTTTCGATTGTGCGATTATTGAATATATAAAACGTTAAGAATTCAAGCGCTTAAGAATTCAAGTGAGCCTGATGCACGGAATTGCGACCCCCAAAAGCGTATCCAATAGCATTCCCTTATTTGTATAGTTCATGTATGCGTGATATTTGTAAAATTTCGACTTTGCAAAATTTTCAAATGATGGCATGGATGAAAAATAAATTGCCTATTTACCTGTTTTATTATTAGCATGACAACATTACTGGATGCTGATTGGTTGAGAGGAGCAAAAACAAAAACAAAACAAAATGGCGGAAAGGTAATTTAACAACATACAAATCTGAAATGAAATCGCCCTAGAGGAACTAAATGAAAATTAAATACGAACAAAAGCACCAAATTTTGGTTGATAGTCTGGCAGGTCTTGGCTTTGGCGAGAGAATATGATCTCGACATTGAGAAGTATGTGTAATCATGATAATAAAGTTCAGTATGTTTAATATTGATGTTCGCATTGACTAGCCCCGGCAGCTCGTCCAATTTTGGCAAAATTTCCAAACATCACTCGTACTATTAATCCCTAATTGAACTCGCCATCGCATCATTACTTATAAGTAATACCATGGTTTTTAAGAATATAGTGATTAAATCTCCCGCCAACAGACGGAGGTTTGTGAAAGTCCCTAGGGACCTTCACATGACCGAGGTGAGGCTAGTGTTTTCATTGTACAAAATTAATTGATAGTACGAATATTCTGTAATACAATGCATGATCAGTGATGTATACAACAATTTTCCATTGTCGGAAATTCGTTTGCGAATAAACAATTCTTAATATACGTGTGTCAGTGCATGTGCATGTATGGATATAAAATGAGTTACTTTTTAACTCAACTCTTGTTTTTGGACGCTCACTAAGAATGATATGGCGGATAAACGTTTCTGGTTTGTTATGGAAGCCGATGTTTAGAAAGTTAGAGATAACAGAACGCCTGAGAATACTATCAAACACACTAGGTGGACCACGAATGTTTATAAAGCATGGGAAAAGGCAAGAAATACCGAGTTTCGTGATTTTGAAGCCGAGAGTCAAGTATTCAAGCGTGTGCCAGATTTGCAGGAGATGAGAGTTGACGAAATTAATCACTGGTTTAGCCGATTAACGCTAGAAGTATGGAAGAGAAACGGTAAAGAATACCGCCATGAAGTCGTGTATAGTCTGTTTTGTGGTTTAAACCGAACAGTTCAGTTGCAATATCCAAAGTTAAACCTGTTTAATTCGGCTGAGTTTAAGCCGCTTCAGCAAACGCTCGATGGGAAGCTGAAAGAACTACAGAGCACCCAAAGCCCAATGAAGAAGAGAGCAGATGCAGTGACGTTTAGCGATGAAAGGGTATAGATTTGAGCGCACTACTACAAGGAGCTAATTGTGGAACTGTGAACATCAACATTAACATGAGTAAATAAATTACTGTCTTTATAATATAGTTGTGTGAAATGTTTAGTGAAAAGTGAATATTAATAAGTCGAGTAATTAACACTTTATCTTACTGTAATTAACATTGTAGTGTAATTATTTTGTTTGTGGTGTAAAAGCTATTAAGAAAACTCTTTGTCGTGTCTTTGAATTTTGGCTCATGACTTTTAAACAGGGAGAAATTAGAAATCTTCCCGGCTTTGCCGGGAGAATTAGATATCTCCCCGCTAAGCCGGGAATATCGAGATTAAACCACCCGGCGAGAACAAAAGAACCCGAGGTCATCATGGTATTACTATACTAATTCGGGGTTTTATTTTTATTGTATAAAACAAATAAATAAGATTTTACCGTTGTCTGTTCAGTTATAGATACACAATATGACGCCATAATGTGCGAAGAACAGAAAAGTGACCCACTCGCCTCGGCAGCTCGTGAGCCACTTTTTTGTTCTTCTCACATTATGAGGTCATACCATGTGTATCTCTAACTGAACAGACAACGGTGAAATCTTATCTATTTGTTAAGTAGATTGGATTACAAGAAACTAAATATAAATTATCCCACCTTCCGAACTGACTGCCTTGTTCTTTAAACGACTGATCATAAGTCCAGCTTTTGGATGATCTGCTAACACTAAGGTGTATGTTACTAACGACGTAGTGTAAGAATCCTGAATATGTGTTAGGTTGTCGGTTACACAACTAAGGGCTTTAGCGACCATCTGTGTCTGAAATATACGGGATAATATGTTAGATAAAAGTGAATTATGGCTTTCGATGTAGAAAATTAAAAATAATTAGCCAGTATTCTGAGTGTTGGACACAAGTAGCTATATGCAGCGAAGAACAATATTTATGAACTTGATTTGTATGAATTACAAATAGCTCCATGTGGTGACCTGAACACACGCAAATTTTCACTCTCATGCAAGTATATTAGGAAAACGTCGCCTAAAACCGCGCATGTTTAATTAAGGTGGCTCCCTAGGGTTTTTTAATTTACTACACTATCGTATTCAGGAGACTCCTGTTTCTTCACGTTACATGACATAAAAACGAAATTTATTGGACACATTGACAATGTTCTCCTGAACATTACAAATTGCAACTTTTGTGTTAAAAATCTGTTGTCATGGCAACAACATGCTTAGAATAAAGCCCAAAATTTGTCTTTTTCAGGTCATTTTAAAAGTTCCCTTCGGTGAAATTTTTTAAAACTTTGCATAAAAGGTCATACTTGTATAATGATTTTTTTCTCTCAATTTAAAATAATTAAATCGATACGTTTCTTAGAAAATTGAAAAAACGTCAAAAATCAATATTAAAAATTTTCCCTTCAATTTAATTTTTTTAAAAAAGGATATTGCACTTGCTGTGCCGGTACTAAAAAATGTGCAAAGTTTTAAAAAATTTTACCGAAGGAAAACGGAGAAATTTGGGATTAATTTTCGCAATTTTACTAGATTTTTACGCGAACAATTTAATACCCCAACTGACGTGTACAGGTATTCTGCATAAAACAACAAGACATGACTTTTTTGAAATCACAAAATACGAATTATGTTTGATATACTGTTTATAACTGTGTCGGTTATTGGTCAGCTAAGCGTGGATTATACATGTAAAATTGGCAAAGGTATTTAGGTAATTATTAGTTATGATTTCTTGGTATTAATTTGAAAAATGTTTGTCAAAATTCGTCCCGTGCGAGTTAGTACATACGTCGGATGTTTTCGCAAAATGCCCGTTCAAATTTCAGTTTTTATGGTGGTATGTTTGGAGTTTCGGCCCTGCTGATTTCACCAGTAGAGGGCTCATTATTTAAATATCTTTATTGTCATAAGTGCTGCTAGATTGTGGAGAAAACACTGCAAATTCTTGAGAAAACTTTATATCATATCCCAATGTTCGCGTTCGAACCTGGCGTACGGCGGTTCAAAAAACTTCCAGAATACCGCTTGAAAAAAAAACAAGTTTACATTATCTTCTTTTGAAACATCACATCCAAGTATCGTTTTGTCTTTTAGAACTCTTTTTATGCTTTCAACTAAAGCAAAGTTCACACTTTTGTTTCAAAAGAGTTCCATATAAAAACACAACGTTCGTTCGAAGTCACACAAGTTTAAGTTTACATATATACGAAGAGTAACCCCCGGAAATAAAACCCTAGGGAGCCACCTTAAACACGAACTCTAGTTTCTTGAAGCATTGTAGTGTAAATTGTCCTCAATGTTGAATGGAGGAAGCGATTGGAGGTTAGCTGAAGTTCAATAAAACTTGGGTAGGAACCAGTGGAAAAATTGATTATGTGAAGGGCAAGCATGAAAAGATCTGTCATATACACACGGAGTAGTAAAGTATATCCTAATGTGGAACCCGTATGCCAGTCTGCATAGCAATAACTGGAACAGAACTATCGATGACTGTAGCAGACCGGCTGTTAATATAAACATTGAAACAGCGCACAGCCTACAAGATTGGAGCAGGGCCGTTCATAGCCTGTTTTTCAATGAGATCTAGCAGTATTAAGATCAGATACCATTCGTATAAAACACATCTTACCTTGTTATTCAAACCTGCTTCCAATAATGCTATAGTGACGTATGCCGTAATGGTAAGTTCGCTGTTCAAACCACCCTGGAAATAGTATATATGATTATAGATATGATAATTGAGTTGAGCATAAGCTACGGAAGCTCAGACAGTTTAGTAGCTACAGTAATACCTGTTATGGTAGTTAAAACATGTTTTTGAAGCAATTGCAAAGACCTGTTATGGTCGGAGACGTTATGCTCCCTTGCCAGCAGAAGAAAATGTCGTTTTAAAATGTAAAATAATGATCCAATATTACTTCGGGGCCAGAGATGTAATTGTAATGAATGAGAGCCAAATTTTGTCCGCCCCTGAGGAGCGGGATCTACCACACCATTATCCCTAAAACTTGATTAATTTGCTTCATACTGTTGTGTCCAAATCAAGGTCAATAAACATATTAATTAATCCCAGTTTAAAAATATTCATCCCAAGGTTTCAAAAATAGAAACCAATTGGGTAAGTGAGGGATTGGAAACAGCTTAAATTTATTCGGCAACGTATTTCTTGCATCCATAGCAGTATTTTTTGGAACATTTTCTCCAACCTCGACTTCGATGTAAGAAAACAAATTAGCCTCTCGCCCTCTCCCCAAATTTTATATCACAATTAAAAGTCTAGACACTTGCCTGAAGTGATTTATCGAACACTTTTCCGTATTTTGGGAAACAACCTGAGGGTTTCTGTTTTCTTCGAAACCATTGAATGCTGTGTTTGATCTCGTCTTCGTCAACAAACACGTGCTTCCTCGCTCGTGCAAATGAACGAACCACGAATGCTGTTAACCTAAAAAAGCGAATAGTGGCGAATTTGTGTAATTATATAATTCCATTCCTTTATTTTTAATTGAGCAATGATTGGACGCGTCGTGGAAATCAGCTTTAGTTGACGAAGTTAGCGTGTTTAAATAAAGTTATATCTACCTATCTTTATTTACAAAATCACATTAATCAATTAATTTCCGCAACGCAAAATCATCTGCCATTTTTTGTCAAAGTAATAAAGAAAGGCGTATTATGGATTAATGAATGTTGCATGTAGAAAGCTCAGACAAGAGGAGTTAGCAACCAATATACCGCGGCTGGAGTTAAACATCCAAAGCCATGTAAGAATGTAGAACGGGAATATAGAGGGTATTAAACTTACATCATACTTCCTTTGCTGTCTGATTTTCCAAATATGCTGTATGAACCACTTCGTCGTTTATACGTTAATTCTCTTTGATATCCTGTGTGAAATAAATCCTCTTAATGAAAGTATTTGAAAAGTTTCGATACCTGAAAATAGGTGACACCAATAACAATTGTTCTGATATGAGTCACGTTTTAGGGAGAGTTGCTATATTTTTAGATTTTTATAGGGTTAGGATTAGGGTTTCGTTCAGGGAAAGGGTTAGGGTTATGATTAATATCAAGGTTAGATTAGAGTAATGGTTAGGTTTACGGTTAGGATTAGGATTAAGTTTAAAATTCAAAAGATTACAAAAGCTTCAAGCTATTAACTCCACCTAAAACGTGACAAGTATAGTTGTTATCATATATACCGTGTTCGATCGCATATATTATCATATATACCGTGTTCTGATGCATGTGACGGAGTGGATGAGTATGAATGTTCTGAGTATATGAACCCGCATCTCAACATTCATAACTCTTCCACTCGTTTACATACATCAGGGGATTTTCTTCTCCTGGGGCCTGCTGTACGAAGGCCGGATAGCGCTATCCACCGGATAGTGATTTTTTCAACCTTTGTAAAAATGCTTGAAAAACTGTGAAACTACGGATATAGATGAAGAAAGAAGTATAAAAAACATTTAACTTATAAATACTAAACTTTAATATGAGTTATAACAACCAACGACTAATTTAACAAAGTTTGAAAAAATCACTATCCGGTGGATAGCTCTATCCGGCCTTCGTACAACCGGCCCCAGGAGAAGAAAATCGCACCTAAAATCGCAGCATTCAACAACACTCAACAACATTCATACAACAATTATATTTCGTGACAAAACTCTATAGTGTAAACGAGTTTAAAGTTAAAATAATCTGTTTCAGCAGCGTATCCTGATGCCTGTTGTGTATTCTTCTTCCCTTTTACATTCTTCATTGAAACACAAACTTGGAAAGTCATAGTTTCTATTTGTGCTAGTTTGGCGGCCATTTGTTTCTTTATGTACAACGTAGCCGATCGGGGCGGGAAAAAATTTTCGCTTGTTGCCCGGCGGGAAACATTGCATTTATTCGAAGTCACGTGACAACAAATAAGCTAATCACGTGGATCGGGATAAGGCATAAAAGGACTTGAACTAATCGAACACGGTATATATAGTACTATCAGCAGACATACATGTTTTGGCGTCCTATTCCTCGTAACTGCAGTTTGCTACACGTCTAAATACGCGATACATTCATATTTCTCTCACGTAAGCTCTCGTCAAGGCACATGTGGTACAGCATTGTGACATCAACACCTCCAGACATGCGTGGAGTGTAACGGGGACGTCCACGAGACAAATTAGCTTTATAGATATATACAGACATCTATCGATATTAGGGTAACATAAAGACGGTATATGTCAACGATATCTCTTCTCGTCCCGATATTTTAATAATTGTTGCATCTCAAAAATCCCAAACTCGTGGTCGACACGAAGCACTAGAAAGATGTTCTGTGATTGGTTGATTACGACAATGACAAAAGAATAAGCTATAGAATGGAGTTTCTAAAGAACCAAGCAAGAACAATATTCCTAAGTAAGCCATTTATGTCTTTTGTCAATATTGTCATAGTCACAAATTACGTTATGTATAATAGAACAGCAGAAGGTAGTTTTATGTAGCGACATAATTGAGGTAATATATGGAAATAACCGGGTCTTTTCTTCCCTAACTATGGTTTTCGAACCTTGATATTATAAGTATGTGTATTAAAACATACCAGATTTCATATAACGTATCGCATCGTCCTTTATTTCCTTTGTAACCTGATTTGTGCTGGTAAGATAATCCATGACGTAAATATTTGGAGCAAATTTAGCCATATTTTGTTCACCACAACCATAGGGCATTGCTAGCAGTCCATCAAGATTTGTCAGAGCTGGACCCATTATATCGCCTAGAAAGAGAATATTGGAAGTAATACCCACTAAAATTTTAAAATCTTGCATAAGAAATTATGAACAAATTGAAATTGATCACAGCAATAAGCCTTAAACTCGTCAAAACTAGTTATGTGTAACGCTTACCAACAATCGATATCTTTTGTAGCACGGATCCAGGAATGATATTTGCCGGAATAGCTAAATCAATTATCTCGCTGTAGCTTCCTGGTGAGGGAAAGTATGAAAAAGCTTAGCACTATAATGATTATGTCAAGGACGATTGTATGATGTTACTATAACAATATACAGCTAATTCAAAAACGGTTGTCTTTTGCAGATCTTAATCTTAAACTCTAAACCTTAATTAACATTAAACTCTATAAGCGTGCGAAGCCTATAATGGGAACATCATTTAATCAGTTTAGTAATATATATGAGACCTTTAATTTATTTACTTGTCTTTAAGAAGAAATCGGCCCCATATATGATTTCTAAATTGATTAAATGAAGCTCCAATTGCGCTTTGTACGCTTTATAGAGTTGAATGTTTAATGTTTTAAGGTTTGAGTTTAAGGTTTGAAAGGACAATCTTTATTGAATGAGCTGTAAATAAGGTTTGCAAAGGACTTTTTTTAATTGGTTGTATACAAATGGTTGAACGAAAACAATCCACAATTTCCAACCTATGTTAGATTTTATTTACAACTATTAAACAAAGTAATCTTGCTTCAATATCTGAATTTCGGATAGCTTTCTTTAACTTTTACCTTTTTCAGGAGCGCAAAAGAAAGTTCCTTTACTATGTTGCTGTCTTATTCCTTCAGGCTGGAAAAAACGGAATGACAGGTGATTATTTGACTGCATTTTTTAATATGTTAAAATACCATTGTGCATGGAGAGAAATCCTTGGCTCGTCGATATCAAAATGAACCAGAGAAGTCCGGTGTTTAAGGCCCTGACACACTATAATTGCGTATCGTACTAGCGTATGCCAGCTCATACGCCGGTATACGCTGACATAAGCTAGGGCTACGTTAGGCATAGGTTTTATACGTTTCAAGCACGGTCGCATACGGTGGCATACGCTGGCATAAGGCGAGGCAGCAAATTTTTTTTAAGCATGCTTAAAAATTTTGTGCGTATTCAGACGTATGGTTTATACGAAAGCATACTCCAGGTACACGCTGAATACGCTAGAGGTACGATAGATGTACGGTACTTATTCGCTGGCATTTCATAAGATTTTGTGTGTATGAAAATGTTTCATAAATTTTCATATCTTTAATTCTCATACGTTTCTCTCATACGCAATAGTGTGACAGGGCCTTTATAGCGAAGAAATGTTCATATTAGAGAGTTATAGATTGACGTTTACGGCAAACGTCAAACCACTAACGAAGTTTGTGATTTTACAACTCTATTATAACAGCTTTTACACCATGCAGTTTTGAAATATATTAAGCAATTATTAAACTTGTGGTATTTAACAATAATGCAAGAAAACAAATTAACCGCGTCACGTATTCACCAAAGCAGTAAATTAAGATTTAGCGTTTGAAGTTTACGTTTGGCGGATAAATTCCATGCTTGAACTGCTACGAGGGCTTGTAGTCGTTAAAGCATGAAATTTATACGCCAAACGTAAACTTCAAACGCCAAATCTTAATATACTGCTTTGGTGAATACGTGACTAGCGGTTAATTTGCTTTCTTAAATCATTGCTAAAGTTATATAACTCTACTATAACAGCTTTTACACCAGTTTTGAAATATATTAAACAATTGCCCTCTGTTGTCAGTTTGGTTGTTTTTGCTGTTGTTAAATCTTAATTGTTGTTCTCAGAGCACAAGTTTAACCGAGAATGCTTAAAAATAGCAACAATATGCTATTATAATAACCGAACAAAGTCAACAAAAAACGATGCGCGACGACAAACTGCACAAGTTTAACAAGAACAACGGAAAACTAGATATACCTGTATAAAACCATAAGCATCAATATTTTGTTTAACGCGTGTTCTTGTATCGTTTGGTGTTGAAGAAGTTTCGAAGCATATTTAATGTGGAATGTTATTCATGCTCTTAGGCGACTCCCATGCATCCAATATCTGACGTGCTTTTTTCCAATTTCTGTTCAAATTACATGCATGTAGGGTGGGAATAGTTGTGGGACGCAATATAGATGTTACAAGATCCTCTCGTTTGCACAAAAGTTAATGACTATTGCGACGTTTGATAGGAAATAGCTTATATTCGAAATAAGCAAACTTGAGCTGTCCGAGATTTCGAAAACCCCGATTTCGCAGTTTCTGGAACAAGACACATTGTATCTCTCCATGGATGTGTTTAAAAACAAGCTCCATGTTTATAGCATGAATATCACAGACAATATAATTGTCCGATCATTATGGGTTAGCTTCACAAAATATCCAGATATACAATGCCCACGTCGAGTGCATGCTCGTTAGTGGTTGAGGAGTATAAATAGGGATAAGCAGACGAGAACGCAGGGTCTGTAAATAAAACCTCGTCTGTACTGGCTGCTTGTGTTCGCTCTTCTTCTTCTTCTTCCTCTTCTTTTTTCGTGAACACATTAGCTCTCGGTCTCTATCTACCACTTTTCTCAAAAGACGAAACAGCTTGACGTATGGTATCTCTTCAAGCAATGTTATCAGCAGCAATTAGAGTTGATCATGGACGGTGATCAATGTCAATAACGGTAAGTGAGTTTTCTGAACGTCTTTTTACCGTTTCTCTAGAGCACCTATTTGACTCTGTATACAGGGTGATTTCTGTCCAGCTTAGCTGCGTTTCAACTGCATGCCCTCGATTTTGTTGACTCTTTATATATTGTGTATACTTCGTCCTTGATTCCGCATCACACATCAATGAGCTTGCTGCCTCTCACTTCATATCACTTAATTAAATATTGTGCCCTGCAAAAGTTACCCAAAACTCGGAATATCATAGCAAAAATTTAAACTTACCTCCACCAGTAACTTTCTCGTAACAGCATCAACGGCGTAAACAGTTGGTTTGGGACAAAGTTTTGCATGAGATGTCATAGCTTTAACTGTAAGTGGTATATGACCAAGTTTATTTGGAATAATTTTGAACTTGACCGGTTTCCCATCATCTTTACAAACGCACATCTTGCTTATGTGGAATGACGTCACTTTATAGTCCTCCGATTTACGACTTAGTTTAAGTTTTATCTGAAAATGAGAAGAACTATTTGATACAGCAATATAAAAGTATAATACAACCGCCGAAAAAAGTGCATTGTATTACACTCAGCGAATGAGAAAGATACCCGGAATGTTGAATGCTCATGGATTTTATAATATTTATCTTGATTGTTCTAATGACGTCTTGTATTCAAAACGTAAATTACGATTACATTATTATTTTTGGGTTAATTGTAATATTAGTTTTCTGAACTTCCAGGGCTTGTTAAATCATTTTTGTTTAATTTTTGCGGAAAGAGCATCTGTTGCTCTGCTGTATCAGAATGCCATAGATATAGCACTGAATTATAAATATATGTATTCATACAACGATTAGATTTTATGGTAACTATTTTTTTGTCCAAAGCAACCCTTCATTGAAAAATATTTAATAACGTTGAACAACGAGAGCGAGTGTTTCATCGGGATATCGAAACACGAAAAAACAACGTATACATTGTTTTCGAGTGTTTGGATATCCCCTTGAGACACGAGCTCGAGTTGTTTATATGGCTTCTCAAATGAATCGAGACGTAACAGAATGTTTTCGTTTGCTGATTGGAATAGAATTCTTAACCAAGCATAACGTAATTAGGAATTCTATTCAAGTAATTTTGCACGCGTAATTAAGATATTTGATGAAAACATTAGTGACTTTCATCAAATATCTTAATTACGTATGCAGCTAAACTCTTGTATTGCTGTGTCTGACGGTGTTTGACCGCAATCTCGTACCCAGAGCAATGCCTGTGCGCGAGCTATGAAGTCGTTGGCTCTGGGTAAATTGACAACCGGAACCCCTAAATTTTGAGGTTCCGCTTCTTTGTCGGCATGCACGATTGACAAACGTTAAACCAATCACAGCGCAGGAAAAATTCAATTTCCCCAGAGCCAATGTCATCCTAGCCCGCGTACAGGCATTGCTCTGGGTACGAGATTGGTTTGACCGCGGTATCCAAACAGCATCTTGTGACGGAATTCTCACATGCTATTGGTTTAATTACTCATGAATTATTAATGAATTTGAGAAAGATATTTCAAAAACTCATTAATGATTCATGAGGAAAACACAAAGGAAGTCATAAACGTGTGGTATCTTTGTATCTGCACGTGATAGAGATTTCCCTTGATTTGATTTGATTCATTTGTTCCGGTATTTAGTAAATATCAACATTTGAGCATATAATGATTGCTGACTGAAAATGATTTTTCATGTTTCAGAAAATACGTGATCTTCTTTTCCGAGTCACATACCTATATGTATATTATACAAGCCCCGCTATTTGGGCACTACACTTCTCGCCACGCCGTGAAATATTTCAATAGTAGCCATCAATGCGAATGTGAATAGCGCAAGGGTACTTGGAATTCAACGACCGCTAGGCACCTCTCGAGTATATGCTGAAAATTGTTATTCTTCGATCTTTGAATTATTTAGTACAGGTAATCACACGGGAAGGGGTGCAATTAATGATAACACTACGAGTGATATTTGAAAAAAATGTGCTAGAATTGGCTCCTTTTGCCATACTGTGTTTTTTAACTAATCTTTGCGCCAAAATTTAGTTAAATTCGTCCACGTTTGTTTATATTTATACAAGATAAATTTCACCGCCATATTGGATTTTTGACGAAAATCATCAAATAGTTGATATACTGAAATATGGAATAATTCCCAAAGTAATTTTGTCATGTATATAATAAATCTGACAAACCAGACGAAATGTATACGAGTACGATTTTGTTAGAGGTATTTGTATCAGATATGCCAGATCGTTCACGTTCATGATTTCTTTTCCGTGTTTTCCTAGCTCATGAATTTGTTAAAAATGAACGACTGCGCACTCACTGGAATACAGGACGACAGGTAGTTGAACACAGTCACAGTGATTGGTGTTTCTTCTCCACGGACTACAGAATAGGGCAGAGTCATTTGAACAAAAAATGGTTGGAAAGCCTTCAACATTGCTTGATTTGAGATCCCCATGCCGTAAACAGAAGACATAGCAAAACCACTCGTAACCCAACTTGTGATAGTTGTATCTGGAACTTGTACTTCCAACGTTTCCATTCCCGATGTTTCACTATGAAAAGAAACACAATATAATATTAAAGTTTGTTCGTTCACTGCAACCAGGTATAGCAATCATGTTTCGCTCGATACTCTGGTTTAAATAAATGATTACAAAGCCCAGTTGAATTATAATCAAGACCCAACGTTTCGACATTCCAGTCTATAATGTCTTCATCTGGGTTGATCTAAAGTTGCTATCGTGGCTTCTTGAATACCCGAGGGATGACGTCACCTCCCAATGAAATGCATGTATTCCTCTGGCAATACAGCGATGGGGTCCCCAGTATCGGCAGTTATTGCTAATTTAGTAATGGAAGCTAGATTCCGAACAAAGAGCGCTAGCCTCTGTTCCAGTATCTCTATCGTTTTGGAAACGTGTTGTCTCTGCAGCTGTTTCTAGAAATGAAATCTATATTCTGCTGCAACATTTAAATTCTATTGAGCCGCCCATCCAATTCACTTTGTAATCAATATTTATAGTGTTTAACGCTTTATAAATTAATAAATTATTATTAATTATTACTGTAGAACGTGAGATAGATGGACATTTAGCTTTTTAGATTTGAATGTGCACAGAACTGTCGAAGGGAGGTTAGACTGATGTTTATCGCAAACCAACACACGCAGACAAATATTTGTGATACGACTCTTATCACCCAGTCAGCAATAAAAGATCCGTAGCAAAAATTTTGCTTCAAAGAGCTGAATCCTTGCCGTCAAACAGTGAGTCTCAAGCTAATGAATATGAATATGTACTAAATGTTTCAGAGGAAAACGTTTACCTTAATTAAGCGTCTTCTCAATGATTGCCTGAGATCACCTGTTTGTAGGAACCAAAATAACTCAGAGGGTGATACCTCTGCTAAGGGTTATGCAATGGTTCCATACATTGGTGATGTCACAGAACTAATCAAGAGAATATAAAGTAATTGCAATGTTAAGCTTGCCTTAAAACCCCATTTGACTTTAGGCCATATTTTCGCAAAGCCGAAAGGTCCTGCTAAAACAAATCAGAAAACTCATCCTGTATATTCCATACCATGCGGTGACTGCGAGAAAGAGTATTGGGGTCAGTCTAATTAACCCTTACAAAAAAAGTCTATATATAGGCCTGGCCTATAGGCCTGGCCTATAGGCCTGGCCTATAGGCCAACCAAGAGGTTCCTATAGGCAACCTATAGGTTTTTATAGGCAATTGGAACATTTTCTATAGGTGACCTATAGGGATGCATATAAGCCTATAGAGCTCTATAGATGCCTAAAGGCTTCTATAGGGAATTGGAACATTTCCTATAGGCACCTATAGGCCACCTATAGACTTTTTTCGTAAGGGTAAACGCAGTAGCGTAGCCAGCCTGACGATTTAGTTCCGCTATGCAAATATTTTCATATTCATTGAGTGTGAAAATAATGAATTTCTAAAGAAATGAGCCATGATAATAATTTTGAATTTGCATAGCGGGACTAAATTGTCGGGCTGGCTACGCAGCACTGCCTAAACGCCTGTTTGGTACACGGTTAAAAGAGCATCAGATAGCTGTTTTCACTTTAGTCAAGGGAAAATCAGCTTTATTATGCAGAACATGTGTGGGAAAGCTAACAAGAGACTGCGCGGGAAAACTCTAAAGTAATTACCACAAACAATCGCTATGGTCAAAGACTATGCCTAGAATCGTGGCACATAAATATGGGTAATCATGCTTTGAATAGGGATGACGGTGCTTATTTGGCATCATCCCTCGGGTATTTAAGAAGCCTCGATTGGAACTTTAGGTCAACACTGATGAAGACACTAGACTGGAGGGTCGAAACGTTGGGTCTTGATTGCAAGTTCGACTGGGCTTTGTAATCGTTTATTTAAACCATAGGAGCGAGCGAAACATGAACTATATAATATTATCTTTCTATAACTGCGATCACTTAGCCTGACGGGAGATATTTACCTCTCCCTGAGAAACGTATAACAAACATGTTCTAGCATTCAATAAATTTTTAGATTAGGGAGAGGTATTTCAGCTATTATTCCGTGGAATTGACGAGTGAAATTCGGTATCAACTTTGGCAAGACTTGACCCTTTTTGTCACCTTGTTGTTGTACATTTTCATGGATATACAACACAATGCCATTGCAATGATACAATCAAGAAATTTTTATTCATTATGATAGACTAATGAAATTGGATTGGTGAGAGAATAATGATCACGCCATGCAGTGAAATACAATTTTTGAAGATAGTCGTGATGCATAGTTTGTAATGACACTTGTGATACACAGGTTATAATGACGATATACATGCAGTAATAATGCTGGTGATACACAAGTTGTACTGAAGATAAATAGTAATTAAATAGTATAGGTGGTATATAAGTTGTGAAGAAAGATAGAAACTAAAACGAGATCGACATGAATAATAATGAAATTGGCAGTAATATAATGCATGTGTATGACTTGATCGATTGTGTTGGTGAGGATGGTAAAGGCATACCCCGGAGCGTTTATGTATGATTTTGTGTGATATTGCCTAGACATGAGTGTAAGTACCAATATATGGCTTTACAGGTTAAGTCCCATGCCGTTTGAAATCCAAAACTAATCTAAGGTTATGTTCTCATCACTCTCCAAGCATGCATAATCATAAAACACGTTTCTATCCCGGTAGTTGGTCTTGGAACTATACCCATATAAATATTAATTTTTGTTCTCTATGAATTATACACGTGTTAGCGCGAAAAAAACTGTGGATTATTTGTATAGGAACAATGTGAATGTTATTTTAATTTGCCATAATATTTTTGCCAAGTGATATGATAAATAATATGGAAGGCTGAAAATGACACGATGAATAAGTGAAGTTAAAGAAGACTCAATGGCGGATTATTAAGACTTTCTTGGGCAGTCAATTTTAATCCCCTCTTTGGTGAACTTAGTCGAACGAACCACCGGGCTTGCGAGTCTCCGATGCTGCTGATTAATTTTGTGTAACGAAGAAGTGTAAATGAACTTCTTAGATTCCATATAAGGATGATTTTTCTCATCTGCTCAATGGACACTACATGTATCTATTGCACTTCCCAACATTATGTGCGATTAAATCTTCATTTCTTTTGGAAATTCAACAACAAATTTAATCCAAATTTTATTGTTTTCGTTGTAGCGTACGTATATCTATATTGTGAAGTGTAATAATAATTCTCTCTTCTCGCTTCCGCCATGTAAATAAATCTTTTTAAAGGTGAAGAAGATTAAGATTCTGTCTAAAGGAAGTGGGCGGGGGAAAATTTCAACGCAATTTACCATTTTGGGGGGAAATCCTGAACCACCAATTAATTTCGTGGTAGGGTTGTACCATCCGACAACAACGTATAGCATAGAAAACACTGCTTTCAACTATATAGCTTGAGTTTAGCGTAAGAAACCATTTTTGTGCACAAAATTGAAATGGAATTCTATAATGTTTTGTATGTTTTTAATTTAAATTAATAAAATTATTTTGGTGCAGCTGTTTGGCATTTTATTGATCCAATAAAATTATTAACATCCATGTCATTTTTTTTAATTATTATTGGTCAAATACCGCAATTGGAGAATCAGTTTAAATAAATTCGAAAATCAACCCAAATGCATAAAGACACGCATGTGTGAACTGAAGCTGAATTAACTTAACGACTTTAACTTGAATGAACATTTAAACAAGAATATATATTGCATTATATATTACTTTATAGACATTTAGTATGTACACCCGCGTTCCTGATTGGTCGGAGAACACCGGACAATCCTCAATATTCGGTATTTCTTACGTATAATTTCAGCTGCTGACGTTTTGAGCGTCCGAAAATAGTATTTTCGGATCGAACTTGCATCCAAAACATATATTACATATACAGGACTGGGGCGAGCGAAACAAGATGGCGACCAAAATTTTAGATCTCAATATTTGATTTTAAAACAAATCAATATACTTAATAACTTTTAAACGATCAAATTACAGTTTATTTGGATGCTTAATATGTTTGCCTACTAATGGAAATATCAATTCAAACACGTGAACTTTTAGAGAAGTTATTTGATGAAAAGTTAAAGCCAGTATTTACTAATATAAACGATGTGAGAGGAAAATTAGATGAGGTTATTCACTCTATGGACTTTTTAAGTTCACAGTATGATGTTATTCAGCAACAATTCATCAAATTCGAAGAAGTAATTAAAGAAACCAACCAAGAAAATCAACGTCTAAAAAATGAAGTTTCTAGACTCACAATCAAAGTGCAAGAACAAAGAGACATTGCAAATGACCTCGAACAATATGTTAGGCGAGATTGCACTGCAAAAAATCCCTGAGTATTTTGACTCAAAAAGCTGAGTAAAACGATGCACCCACAGTGACTCGAATTGTTGAGTAAAATTTACTCAAAATAAAGAGTACTTTTACTCAAAATGTTGAGTAAAATTGACTCAAGTAAGATGCACCCACAGTGACTCAACATCTTGAGTAAAACTACAATTTACTCAAACTTAAGGGTAATTTTACTCAGAAAGTTGAGTAAAATTGACTCACGCAAAATGCACCCACAGTGACTCAACATCCTGAGTAAAATGAAAATTGACTCAAATGTATGAGTAATTTTGACTCAAAAAGTTGAGTAAAATTGACTCACGCAAAATGCACCCACAGTGACTCAACATCTTGAGTAAAATTACAATTTACTCAAACTGACGGGTAATTCTACCCAAAAAGTTGAGTTAATCTGACTCACAGAAAAGGCACTAGGAAAATTTAAAAAACTCACTTATTGAGTAATTTTACCCAGGATGTTGAGAAATTTGAAATCTTCCTATAAAAGCCATCAATAGATACCAGTTCAACAGTTATTCGTAATAGAAATCATTTAATCTAAATCGTAATAGAAATCATTTAATATAAATCGTTAACAAAATTAATAACAGCTGCAGGAAGTTTCTTTCCATCTTGGATGTTCAAAACGCATTTTTGTAAATATAAATAAGTTTGA